GGCCTTCAACATCTGGAGCAACATGAAGAACATGGTGTCCTACACTCCTCTCATCCTGGGCCCAAACACTGCTCACCCATACCTTATCCTGTCAGAAGATCTGACCAGTTTGAGGGAAGGAGACAAACAGGAGCTTCCAGACAATCCAAAGAGATTTGATAAAAGATGTTCTGTCCTGAGCTCTGAGGGGTTTACCTCAGGGAACCACAGCTGGAATGTTGATGTTGGGGACAGTGAAGTGTGGATGCTTGGCGTGTTAGCAGATTCTGTCCAGAGGAAGGGAGACATATGGTCTAGGTTGTGGGTCATATGGTTTATTCAAGGTAAATACACAACATGGTCACCACCAGCTGTTCCCAATGACCTTCATATCCAGAAGAAGCTCCAGAAGATCAAAGTCAAACTGGACATGAAGAAAGGAAGGCTTTCCTTCACAGATCTGGACACTGACACACAATTCCACAGCTTCAGACACCCTTTCTCTGAGAGAATGTTTCCATACTTTTATACTGACACTGAGATTAGTATCTTACCAATGAACATTTCAGTAACTAAACAGTAGTATTTTCTTCATGGAGAATAAATCACATTCAATCCTGAAAGCTGTTAATTAGTTTGATCCTCAGCTGTTTTTAAACAGAAAACTGAAAATGAATAATTCTGACCTTAATGCTTGTATCTTCTTCTTCTTTCTTTATTTTTTTTTAGATATGCATAACTATCTGTGCTGATGCTACATTTTTTTGTTACTTTTAAACCTTAAACTGTATGTAACACAATAAAACAGCAGATCGTGTAAAAGAAGGCTGTGTTTTATTTTTAATAAATGTTCTGAATTTGAGTCTGAAGACAGAGCAGGTGGCAGAATTAAGTAATCTTTTTTTCCTCCATCTATGATCATGCTTAGCTTAGACATATACATTTGATAATGAGATTGTTTTTGGGTAAATAATCATAATTTGAATTATAAATGTATCTATAAAATGCTTTTAATCATTTATAAAGTGCTTTCAAAATGTTTTATGGGTATATTGAACAAACATTAAGAATAAAAGGTAAATAAATTTAAATAATCAATGAAACTCATGAAAAATAAAGGGGAAAAAAATGGGTATTTAGTTTTAATAAAAAAAACATCTACAAAGCTGAGGAACGCTGCTCCTAGGTTTATATGTCCATAATGGAAATTCTGGATGACTAACGTTCTTTCCTGACCTTAGGCACAAATAGAAGGACAGTTCCTTGAGAACAGATGGCACAAAATATTACATAAGAAATAAATAAAAGACGGTGCAAGTCCATGAAGAATTTTATAGACTAACAAGAGCATTGTGAAGTTGGTTAGAACCTGACGAGAAAGCCATTCAAGAGCAGCCAGCTCTTGATTGAGGTAATAAGCTCATACGATCAGCAGTTTTGCACCATCTGTAGAGCTCTGACACATTTTTAACCAGTCCTGACAGAAGGCCGTTGCAGTTTTCAAAGCGAGATGCAACAAAACCTGAAGAGGAACTTTAGCATCCTTCTAAAACTACATTTGCCTGATCTTAGTTATTCTTCTGAGATATAAAAAGTGCACGCAAGTAAACTCCGCAATGTGCTCGTTAAATACAATGTTTTCATAAAAAATAACAAGGTTTTCTGTTTTGTTAGGACTTTATAAATATGGTTGTCTTAAGATAAAGACACAGCATCAAATAGATGATGCAGATTCTGTGTTAAAGGGGTGGTAAAGCGCAAACAGAAAGAGTAACTGTGGATGAGGTGTATTGAATCACTTCCTGTTATGCTGTTGTACTTTGCCGATTTTGATTCTCTCCTTAGCACTACTTGATCTCTGCTACAGCATGAATTATGTGGTTTACACAACCTTTCAGTTTTTTTATGTGGTTTTAAACAGGGTATTAGCTTAGTATTTGCCTAGCATGACATGTACAGGCTTCCTTTGAGTCTGCATTAGGGCCAATACATTCTATGTAAGAAAAGAGCAATTCTCTTTTACAGAATAAGAGGGAAGATCTTTTTTGCCTGCAGAATTAGTTGGAAATCTACATAGGTCTCCCCAGCTGTAGGACACCATTGTCAATGGTACAGTACAAGAACAGAAACAACTTCTGACCAGAACACCTTATGAAAATTCAAAAATCATTCAATCTGAAAAACTCATACTGAGAGAAAAGACAATTAGAAGAAACGTATTGATATAATTAGTTGATACTAATGCTATACATTATGTTACACTAATGCTTCAGTGTAGTTTTACTAAATTAATCCTAATATATAAACTTCAAACACACACAGTTTTATAGATATTCCACATAGGTGGCTTTTCCAAAAAAAAAAAATATGCTGCTCATCCTAGAAGCAGTACAGGGTATGTCCTTTACATTTCCAGTTGTATAATTACAGGATGAATGCTGTGCAAAGCTGGAGGAGCAAAGTCAAGGTTATCCTAAGTAGCATGATGAAGGAGATGAACCCCCCCCCAGACACCACCGTTTATAGACATATCTGTGCTATATTGTACATGTACATTTTAGATGTAGCTTAATATGTGAAAGTCCAGGTGGAGTTCAAGGTCCACAAAAAATAAAAACCTTGCCTTGTTTTCATTCATCCTGCTCACTTAACCAAGTGTTTAGCCTTGTTGTGGAGCTGAAAATACACATTATTGGAACTAATGTGTGTATAGCTTTTATTTCTGGAATGTTCCTGAATGTTTACAAGGAGTTAAAATGGTATTTGTATTTTCAATTATCTGAAAATAAGAATCCAACCTTAGTTACAATTTGTGTTTTGATATTCTTACAAAAACAAAATTGTATGGCTTACAGTAACATCCTTTACTAGTGGAACCCTAGCAATTCTGTTCAGGGTACCAACATCAAGGTCCTGTGCTCAGCCACTACTTTCTGAAATGTTGTTGTCATTAACTGCTGATAGTGCCACATTTAATGCAGTTATAATCAAATAAAATAAAAAATATACCACTGGGCAGTCATTAAATAATCTTTATTGCAGACAAATTAAATGCATTTTCCAAACAACAAAAATATACAGAAAAAGAAATACAAAAAATGCAGGTTTCACAAAAGGCTGAAGCCTTCATTATATAACCCTAAACATATAAAGGTGTGTTCATTAACACGTGTCACAAAGAATATGTGCAGAAATATTTTCAGTTAACCTGTTAACTGGGACGTCTCGTCTGCAGCACTTTCACAGTAGCCTAATAACCACTGATGGCTCCTGGTTGTTGTCAATCTGTCAAACTCAATATTTTCCTTAGAGGAAATAAGCAGTGAACCCCATTTTGATTCATTTGAGTGATCAGAAATAAAAATTCTAAAAGTTAACTGTGAAAACTGGCTTTACCCTCTTCAGTTTTAGCATCAAATATTTTATACAGTCTACTTTCATTTTAGATTTCTGAATTATTTACATATTATAATATATGAATAAAATCTGAATCAGATTTAAACTTTAGTCTGAGTTCAGTTTTAATCTGATTGAAACTGCAGTCTGAGGAGTGGGGGTGATACTGGTTGGTTAAAGTTTGATGCACTAACCTGGAACACTTATATGCATACTTTTATCATCATATAATGTGAATGTGAGCTCAACAATCTTTTTTCCTGATGTTCTCCATCTTCATGCTGTAACTCTGATCTTCTGTCTCACATTAATCCAGGGACAGTAAGTCTATGTCATAGCATCCATCAACCTGCAGGAAAACAAAACATGAAATGATTCCTCTTTTCCAAGACTTCTTGGAGATCAAACTACTGATAGGTATTTTATATGCTCTTAATTTCCCATCCAAAAAACGTACAGATTTCAGTACTGAAAGTGCTGCAGTGTATCTCACTCTATAGCTTAATTTGCCCAAAGATGTTAAACTTCTTTAATCACATCTGTTCATATTCCATTTTCATGCTAATCATAAAGTGAGGTGCTGCTGTGCAGCTCTACCCAGGTGTACACTATGGGGTACCTCCTAACTGATAACAGAAAGTATTCTTCAAAAGCTTTTTGAATTTATAAATATGTTCATCCTACCCACAGACAGTTTAAATACTGGATGTTGCACACTGAACTGGGAATGAAGAACTCACATCAAAACGCCCAATGGTGGCTGTGGTTTGGTTGGTCTGCATCACTTCAGTCAAAGCCCACATCTGCTGGATGCTGGAGGAAACAGTCTGAGGGTCTAGGAGGCCCTGCAGCAGAAGACATAGCAGTTAAACTGAAGATCTATTCAGAAAATCTCAACATTTTACTTCCCATTATACATCATAACCTAAACTGAAACAACATTTTTAATTGTCTGTCATTTTTTTTTAAGAATCAGTAGGTTTATTAAACCTGAAGAGTAAGTAAATGATTAAGAAAATATCAATTTTTTTTTTTTATTATTTAAACACACATTGCCACATTAAATTTGGAAATAAAGTATTTAAAAGGTGCAGCTTCCTTTAGGGACAGCTGGAGATAGGCACTGGCAGCCCTTGCAACCCCACTTGGGAGTAACTGTGTTAGAAAATGGATGGATGGAAGAACTTCCTTTAAGGAAGTAGTTCCCAAGGAGGCGCTGCACCCATTTATGAGGGTTTGTGGTACTGGAGATATGATTACATTTAAAGGGGAGCGCCGGTTTATTTACATGTGGCCCTTGATTTTACGTTATTACATCATGTTCTACTCACCCATATGAGTTTTGTGTCATTTGGAGTGTATGACGTCATCCGCACGCGCCGGCTACCGTTCATTCTTCCTGTCCGCTGAACTGCTGCTAGTTTTCCTCACATGCCTGGAAGATGTCTAGTGCTGCTACCACAGATGATCTCACTCTCTAAATGGAATTGAACGATTCAGATTAGCTCGCCGAATGAATGGAAGGGGTAGAGCGTAGCCGCCTGTGGCCCGGGCTGCCTGTCACAACTCCAGTCCGGCGCATGGATGACGTCATACACACTCCGCTTTGCTTTTAAAAAATATAAATATAAATAATATAACTGCGGATGTCTTGGGGACAGTGATTCGCCTTCATGTTATGAATGCTGGCGTACCATAAAGAATAAATTATAAACAGTTTAGTTTGTGCCTTCAACTTGTTTGCCCATAGGAAGACGTTACTTTGATATAACCTATTGAAATATCTTAAGAACGGCTCCAAATGACACAATATGGGTGACTAGAGCATGATGTAATAACGTAAAATCAAGGGACCAATGTGAAAAAATCGGTGTTTCCCTTTAATGTTATTCATCTTTTTTGTTATGTACAGGATTTATCTTGTACATAACATATGTAATGTTTTTGCTGCTGAATTTTCTTTGTTCAACTGTTGTAAAGGTTGTGTTTGGTGGGGAGGAATCTTCTAAACCAGGGATTCCCAAAATGCACACCCACCCCCTGAAGGGGGGCTAGATGAAAAAATTAATGGCGATCTGATAATTACATAGTTACATTTATTTATCCACACAATAAAGATCTACAAATAATAATGTCTTTTTAAAATTAAAATCAAAAATTACAACTTTATTAAATAAAAATATATTCACACAAAAAATGTATTTATTTAGAATGAGTCTTCTTCTACACTTCATTTTAAGATGCAATATAGAAGAAGTTACCTCCTTATATGCCTGGTTCTGTATATGCCACCTAGCTTTTTGTCTCTACTTCAAATGAACAAACAGTCCAAGGTGCTAGAGTACAAGCATTGATGTGCATATCATGCCCAAACCGCTGCTGGGGAAGCAGATTGTCGACACGATTTCTTGACTATGCTCATGCACAGAGCTGTAATCCTTTTCAGGAGATAATGTGATTCAGATAAGTGTGGTTAATTTTAAAAATGCCCATATTAAGACCGGACAAGGGAAACCAGCAACCAGTGGTGGTCAGGGGTGAGTAGAGATGAGGTGTGTTGCCATAGACACGTTTACCTACAGACAAAGCTTTCTAGGTACAGTAGGTGCTCAAAGGCTGTGAAATTCTCAGGAAATAAATTCTCATTTCTCTGATTAATTACACCTTTATTAAGGTCTGCGCTGTCTAGCAAAGTCTCCATCTGTCATCACTGGACACAAATCAAATTAAACGTCTTAGTGCTTCTATTTTCAGGCACAATTGAGTCTGATTAAGAATCTAGTAATAAGTAAATCAGAAACACACAGGCAGGTAGATTATCAGAGTTTAATCTGTGAATCCATCTTCAGAGCCATTTGAGGTCGTCTGTCCAGGTTTGACTGATCTGAGTCTGTCTTTACCTCGCTCCAGGCTGAGCCACAGCTGCACCTGAAAATCCTCAGGATCCCGCTGTGAATAATGTCTAACGTTATTACATTTTAATTCAAATTCAGTTCTAATTAGATTTCCATAACATTTGCTATGATAATAGGATTGTGTTATTGTAAATGTAGTTTTTTTATTATGTCTGTTCTGGATATTTGGGGATATGATCAAAGACGCTGCCATTAACATGGCTATAAAAAAAATTTAAAAGCTGGGGTATTGGGGGTGCGTCAACTTGGTTTGGATACAGAAGAGGAAGTAAAATAAGGAGCCTGTGAACCAGCATCAAATATGTAAAATAAAAATCTAACTATTTATCGACACTTTGGGATAAAGTTTTTACCTCTACATCAGGGTGTTGATCAACAAGAGTAAGATCAGACAGCAAATCAGAGACCTCCTTCTCTGGCTCCTGCGGGAGATAAAATAAATATATAGGTTTCATACTGGCGACATCTAGTGGTCATAAAGAAGAACAACTTTGAATCTCTTATAAGATCCATTCTTTTCCACTATTTCCAAATACTAAGAGGAAAAATAAATGAAAGGCTGACCGGCTCCACTTGCGGGAATATTTTGATCTCTTCCAGGCTGAAGTTGAGCCAACCGGAGGACGGCTGTCTTAGGATCAGCCTCACCGACACAACATGATCTGCCTCCACCAGCATCTGTAAGATCACAAGGGAACAAAAAAGGAGAAAATGAAAAGAAGCAGCAGGGTTGGTCCATCTTCCTTCTCTACAAAAATATACACTATTACCCCAGGGAGGGACTCTGTAGCCCAAACAAAGAACTGAGTAAATAAAATGAAGATCATGCAGAAATGTTTCTGAATGCAGAGCTACAGAGAGATGCCAGTAACTCCCATTTATTACTAATTGTTCTTTACAACTGTAAGACATGCAACAACATGAGCTGAACAGAAAAACCAATCAGATATTGTCATGTAGCAAAGCATCAGTTTCTACTATCAAATTTGTGAGAAAAGGACAAATCAGAGTCACTCACTAAAAGAGATGGTAGACTTAAGACTTAGACTCAATTTTATTTATCCCTTGGAATTATTCCTTCAGGGAAATTCTAGATCCAGTAGCTCATATACAAAGTACAAAGAGTACAAAGAGTTAAAGAATGATTCAGTTAAAGATAAAAATACAACAGACAATATAAAAAATATATATATAGTACAAAAGTGCATAAAAAATGTTGGAATTGCCTGGAATATGTTTCCTTTAGATATAAAAATATCTGCACAGTAGAGAGCTAAGGAAAGACTACACATTAGTTGACCTGGATTACTGCACTCAATGCAGAGATGGACTGACCTTAGAAATAGGTTAAAAAAATTACACAGGCTACCGGTGGCAGCTCTTGGAAAATGTACACAAAATTCAAGTAATAACTAAAGTATGACAATAATACAAATATGCGGAGATAAATGGTCGGTGTTCATCGTGAGAAGGTTTGGACATTTACCAGTATTAATACAAGTTCTCAGGGTGAGTTCTGGGTCTCCTCCGATTATGATAACCCTAATAATTAGTAGGAGACCAGGATCACATGTATCACATTTATCATAAGCTCACTACATTTGATAAAACTTCTACATGTCCCTAAATCTAAACCCTCGAGCCTTTGAAGGAAGGTGATTTAATTCTCCACTATTTGAACCAACCTGGCTACTTGATAGTGGACTACCAGTATCTATTTTGTGGCTTAAGGCTTAAAGAGGCAGAGGGATTTACAACTTCAGCTAAAACCAAAGATAAAATTCTGATCTTTCCAAACAAACTTCATATTTTTTAAGTTTTTAAGGCGTCACAAAATTTGTTGTATCCCTATGGGAATAAACCATAAAACTATACATCTGAAAGAAAGTGACTGTTTCTGTCTTTGCATTATTAGTATCTGAATCCAGGTGGATGGACCATTTACCCGGGTGGCAAGAAGAACTCTTTGAACGAGTGACAAAAGGGTAGCTCTGCTGTAAAACTGGTGCTGTAGTAAAAACTGCGACCAATAAGGTAGCATTATGAATTAAAGGTTGTGTGATTCTTAACGTTGCAAATTAAATGTTCTGACAGGCTCTGAAAAATATCAGGTACAAGTTTGAACATGATTAGTCAGTAGAAGTCAAACAGGTTTGAGCTCCTCCCTTTGTCCAACTCCCCTGAGGTGAAACAGGAAGCGGCTTGTAATTCTTATGACACAGAGACATAGATGATCAGATTCAGCTTCAGACTAAACCTCCTATTTCATCTTGAGGAGGGAAGGGAGCCATGACTGACTGGACCTTCTGTGTTTTCAGCTTCACTCAGAGACTAAATGGCTTCCAGGTTAGAGGAGGATCTCTGCTGTCCAGTCTGTCAGGACGTCTTTAAGGATCCAGTTGTTCTGTCATGTAGCCACAGCTTCTGTAAGGAGTGTCTGAAGAACTGGTGGAGGGAGAAACCAGGAAAAGAGTGTCCAGTTTGTAAGAGGAGATCTTCAAGGGAATATCCACCATTTAATCTGGCTCTGAAGAACCTGTGTGAGACCTTCTTACAGCAGAGAGAGCAGAGAGCTTCAGAGGATCTCTGCAGTCTGCACTCTGAGAAACTCAGACTCTTCTGTCTGGACCATCAGCAGCCAGTGTGTCTCGTCTGCAAAGATTCAGAAAAACACACCGAGCACAGATTCAGACCCATTGATGAAGCTGCTCAGCAACACAAGAAGAAACTTCAGGAAACTCTGGAACCTTTAAAGAAGAAGCTGGAGCTCAGGAAGAAAGTTCAAGAGGAGTTTGATCAGACAGCAGAACACATGAAGGTCCAGGCCCGACACACAGAGAGGCTGATTAAGGAGCAGTTTAAGAAGCTTCATCAGTTTCTAGCAGAGGAAGAGGAGGCCAGGCTGGCTGCACTGAGGGAGGAAGAGGAGCAGAAGAGAGGGATGATGAAGGAGAAGATGGAGGCTCTGACCAGAGAGATAGCAGCTCTTTCAGACACAGTCAGAGCCACAGAGGAGGAGCTGAGAGCTGAAGACGTCTCATTCCTGCACAACTACAAGGCTGCAGTGGAAAGAGTCCAGCGCTGCCCCCTGCTGGAGGATCCACAGCTGCCCTCAGGAGCTCTGATAGACCAGGCCAAACATCTGGGCAACCTGGCCTTCAACATCTGGAGCAACATGAAGAACATGGTGTCCTACACTCCTCTCATCCTGGACCCAAACACTGCGCATCCAAAGCTTATTTTATCTGAAGATCTGACCAGTATGAGATCAGGAGTGAGACAGCAGCTTCCTGACAACCCGGAGAGGTTGGATATATGGTGGTCTGTCCTGAGTTCGGAGGGCTTCAACTCAGGAAATCACAGCTGGGATGTTGATGTTGGAGAGAGTCAGGTTTGGACACTCGGTGTGTTAGAAGAGTCTGTCAACAGGAGGCGAAACATCAAGTCTGGGCTATGGGGATTAATGCTTACAGAAGATCAGTTATCAGCTTGGTTACCAGGTTCATCAACAGTTCTCGTACCGAGGGAGCTCCAGAGGATCAGAGTGAATCTGGACTGGGACAGAGGAAAGCTGTCCTTCTCTGATCTGGACACTAACACACACATACACACCTTCACACACACCTTCACTGACAAGATGTTTCCGTATTTTTATACTTTAGATAAAGTGAAAATCTTACAACTCAAGATCTCAGTGAGAAAACAGAATCGCTGATTGGTTCTTTGAGAAGGGCTTCAAATGAGTGACTGTAAAGAAAAACATGGTGATATAATGAACCATTTACATCTCAGTCAGATCCGGTTCTGATCATGTTGGAGCAAATAGATAACACTATTTTCAAAAAACCCTTATGATTTCAACTAAAGAAGGTTTGATTTGTTACATTCCGGGCAGCAGGGGCAGGAATGGGCACCTAGAGAGGCAGCTGTGCCCGCCCTGCACTGGAAAGTGTTTATTTTATCAGTCATAGTTTTTTACTCTGAGTGTCCAACTTTTTTAGCATTCCCATCTTTGATCTGTCAATCACACAATTCAACCAATCCAAACAAAAAGCAAAGGTAACATGCATGCCGATTAAACACCAAGGGGGCGGGTCGTAGAGGTGACAATCATCATCGTAGTAGGCGTGACATGAATATGCAGACTGTTTTCAAAGGTGCAGGTGGAACAAACAAGAGTGGGCAGGAATGCTTGGAGAGTGTTGTGGGAAAAAGGTGTTCAATTCTACAGTCCAGTTAAATAAACGGAGATCGATGGATTTCACTGAGTCCGTATTTTATTTTACCTTACAAAGTAAAATGAGAACAAGAAAACATACAGCCCTCATAGCCTGGTGTTCAGCCCTGTTCTACCTTGGCAGCGTTTGTCTTTCACTAATTAACCCGGCATAAAGGCTGTGAAGGTCTCCACAAATCTGTACCCAAAACAAAGAAAAAAAAGGAAAAAAAAAAAAAAAAAAGAAAGGTAAGAAAAAAAAACCAAAAAAAAAAAAAAAAAGAGTCCAGATGCTTCAAGAGTCTAGATAGTTCATGGTATGTAATTCCTCTCTCTCTAACTCTCTGACCCCCCTTGCCAAAACCTGGGTTAGTTGAAGGCAGAAGGTTAACACCCTGATCTGATCCTTATGCCCCTATAACTGAATCAATTGTTTTTATTCTCACTATGTCTCCACAGGGTTCCTACAGCATAAGGCAAGTTAAATTCAAGACTTTTTAAGACTTTTTAATGCCTCTTGAAATAAAAATTTAAGACCAAATTAACAAGAAATACAAGAAAAACCAGCTTGCGACAACTTTACCCAAAGGTTTATTTTAACATAAACCACTGCACTAATGTTTCAAATTTTGAAAAGCTTCCCATACAGGAAGAAAGCTAAAAACACACACATGACAGATATATTTTAACAATTATTTAACTGAATTCACAAACTTTGTTTTAGCAGGGAACAAAAGAAATCAGTTTTAAAGCCACAACATAACCAGCGCTAAGTCTTTATTGCAGAGTCAAAAGATCCATCCATCTATTAATTTTCTTCCACTTTATCCGGGGCCGGGTCGCGGAGGCAGCAAAAGATCCAAAAGATGATGTTATTCAAAGGCAGACACTGTGACTGACCTGCTTCCTGTGGATGGAGAAGTAGTCTTGGGACCCCGTCTCGGTGTGGGGGTTGTCCATCAGGAGCAGGTCTCGTAAAGCGGTGCACCATTTAGTTGGGCCATTCTGCCCTGAAGTCGTCCTCAACAGACGCACAGTAATGTAAGCAGTGTAGTAGTTTTTAAAGGTGATTTCCTCAATCTGGAACACAATCAGTGAATGATACAGTGAATTATAAACACTGAAGCAACAGCCTTCAGGCGGCGGTCTGACCCTGCTGTTTAACAAACACTGAATCAGCCAAACCTCAGCATTAAAATAAAAAAAACAGCTGGACTTAATTCCTTTATGTTAAAATGTATTCCCATTACCACTCTTTGAAGCCTGAAGCTCTGAGTTAATGAGGACTCACTCTGCATTAAAAAAGAATGCTTTGCAATTACAACTACTTGCTATAAAATAGGTCAGGGCCTAAAATATCCCAACCTCCTCTGAGTACTGTAGAAACATGAGGTTCAGGTTCCTTTATATACAAGTCTAACACGTAACCCAGCCAGTTGAAACCATAATTTGTGATGTTTTCACCACAGACAGAAAACCCATTTAATCTGTCCAATCAGATGTTGGTTTAGAGAAGGATGCATAATGTCAGGAGGATTATCTCTGGGGTCCACATATTGGACAGCCGTGAGTTCCAGTATGTTAACCTTCACTGAGTGTTAGAAATGTCTCCATTTATTTTTGTATACTTGTCGTAAATTTCTGCCACGTCTTCTGGGCTTTTACGAACATCAGATTAAACAGACGTCCTTAACTTCCAGAAATGTTCGTAAAAATTATCCTTGTAAGTCTGATGCAGTCCACCTCTGCATCAGGGAACGTGCGTTCCTGAGATATTTAATCTGCAAATACCACCCCAATAATTCCATATGAGGGGACATGTAAGTGGGAGGGCTATGATTTCCAGCACTTGGCGTAAAGTTTTATTCTTAGAAACGGTGCTGAAGAGAAAGTAGAAAAACTCTACAGGTTTGGAAGTGTGGAAGTTCTGCTTACTTAGAGCTGGGCAGTAGAATCAAATGACCAGTAAAAGCCATGCAGTGAAATAAATCAAAGCAGCTATAGTTGCACCATCACAGAAGTAAAAAAAAAATAAAAATAGATAAATAAATAACACAAAAGGAAAAACCATTTTATCCAAATACAGTAAATGAAAATTACTGATCGGGGAAAGATGTAAATGCTTAATATGACTTTGCCATTAATAAACAAGACATTCTGTAAAATATCCTTTAATACACACACGCCCGCCTATGCTGTACATCTCCAGACCACGTCTGTCATCCCTTCATCTAACTCACCATCTCTCTTGTGCATAAACATAAAAATGTTAATGATGAAACTCTAATTTGATGAACTTTAAACCGATCAACAACCTTTACGTTGTGTGTTTTGACATCAATTTCTACCGAATCAGTTACAGTGCAAATGTGAGGGCTAGCCAAATCTTTTTAATATTCACCATTTTTTAGAAATTTGTTGTGTAAACAGGCCCCTAAAATGTCTGTAATCTCTTAAGCTCTATTGCTCCTTTTCACCAAGACCAACTCAAAGCTCTTTGCTATGGGTCGACTCACTTTTTCAGCCTTTTTTCATTAGTAACAGTTACATGGAACCTTTGAGGATCACCTGCTTTTTAAAGATTCCAGCCCCATTGAGATGGTACTGAAACATAACTAAAAAATGAATCAAAATGGGATAAACTAACCCGACCCAAATATTAGCAAAAATTAGCTACCGTATTAATGGGAAAAGGGCAGAAAATCTGATGAGTCAATCTAAAACAGAGAAAAGGACCAGATTGATCTTTCTTGACTCAGGACAAAAGTCATCTTCTTTTAGCACATCTATTTCTTTTTGTTTTTTTCTTTAACAGTGCAATTCTGGAAACTCATTCAAACATTGTAGAACAAACATGTACCATCCAACTGCATCTTACACTTGTCCTCCAGATCAACAGTGTGCGTTAAACTCAATTGATTACTACATACCGTACATTACTACACTTATTACAGCTTTGTTTTACAGAAGAGTTAAAAAACAAAACAGGAATTGGTAAAAAGAGAGCGTTGTGTTAGTGACATCCGTGCTGACCATGTTTATCATGTTTGAATATGTTCCCTGTTGTGTGGCTGACTTACATTGACAGGTTTTTCAAAGGGCAGGCTGACATCAACCACGCAAACACCAGCTTTGGATGCTCCAATTTGAAAATATACCGGAGGTTTGACTATAGAAGACACAGGCTGTCTGTCATCACCTATCTTGCTCATCTTCTGCAGAAAAACACAAAAGAACAAATCGATTAAACAAGAAGAACAGATAAACTTTCAGGTTTATAACAGGTTGGAATTAAACTTGTAATACTTATATCTAACCATCTGGTTTTCTCAGCTTCCTTTTCCACATGAAAGTGGTTGACAGACTTTTTGCAGCTTAGATCCAAAACAGAAGTGAACTTCATAGTAATGGGAGGAAGGACAATTGGTGTACCAAAAAAAGGATCAGTGGGAGCCATTTATAATAAATGGGCTACAAAACTTAAGTCTAAGGACAAACAGACTTAAGCTTTTTTTTTTGTTTTTTTAGGGACTGTATCGCTGCAGGTTTTCCAGAGTGCCAAGAATTTCCAACAAATATCAAAACCTTGAGCATGGATAGATGGATAAGAGAGGCTTATATATATGTATGTATGTATGTATGTATGTATGTATATATATATATATATATATATATATATATATATATATATATAATTTTTTTGTTATAACACTAGGATACTAACAGGTTGGACAACATTATTCTAAGAAATCTTGGATGAAACCAGTTTGTGGTTGTACCAGTGAATTGTTTTACCTTGTTTTACTAAATAGACCCTTAATGGGCATTACTTTCCATAAGGACAGTGATCAATTGTCTTTATGCGTCTTATGTCACGTCTCAACATGTCTTCTTTAGTACCATCTCAGCAGGTGTTACTGCCATGTTTGAAACCTTCACTTTATCTATTCATATTTTTAACACTGCATTCCCTACACAAGCTGTACTCCACCTGCTTAATACTTTTTATATAAAAAAATATTATCTGTAAACATCACAGCAAGGATGGGTATTCATCATACCATTTATTATTATGATAATAATTTTAATTTTGATGTTTAAAACCTCCAAAATCTATCAAAATTGTATTATCTATTCCTTTTTTCCATTGGATGATTGGCAAATTCAAATAACATGATTAAAAGTTGGTAATGTGTTTACCGATATAAATCACTATTTATTTGACTAGTGTCCTGAAGAAGTCAATTGAAAAAAAAATGTTTAATTTTTTCAAGAGCAGCTATGATTTCTGTGGCATGCAGTCACAGCTATAGACGAGCTATACCCGAGGAAGGCTGTGAATAGCTGAAAATAATTAAAATGAACGGGCATGATAAAAGCTGTCCATGGTGCTGACAAATTATCAGCACCATGGACAGCAAACCCGTGAACTAAAACGCCATATTTAAAACAGATCGGACCAAACAGACTGATTCTAAGGAGACGTATTTACCTTTGGTTTCCTAGGGAGTTTATTTTCAAAATTTTAGCTTTAACCTCATACCTACAGGGTTAGCACGGCGGCTAACAGGTGCTAAATGTTGCTAATGCATAGGGTTAGGACAGGATACATCAGTACAAAGTCGCTGACGTCGGTCTTTGCTCACCTTTCTTCGGTACACAAACAAATCTCAGATTCAACGAAAGAACAGTGGGAGCAGAAGGTACATAAATTACCCAATATGATAATAACAGCTTGATAGTTTAACTGGTAGCGATATTTGGCGTTACTTCCTGACTTGTAAGGGTAACCAAGGCGACGGTGAGCGTCTTAAAGGGCCAGCAGCCCTCAACCTAAAGAGCGCGTCATGGAGAAAAATACAGATTTCTGCATTGAGAGAAGCAAACGCAAATTTAGCATTTATAACATTAAGGTAAAATAAATTTAATTATCTAAGTCCCCCCCTCTTTTTATTAGACAGCATTGACTTATACAGATTAAATAATTAAAAACCTCCCCAGGACGTTCATATGGCTGGTAAAATCATGACTTTTCAATCTACTAAACCAGGGGTGGGCAATTCCCCTTCGTGAGGGCCGGTATCCTGTAACTTTAAGAAGTGCCTTTGGTTCAACACACCTGAATCAGGTAATCAAATGATTGAGAGCACTTTGGGGGAACTGAATTTATACTGAGGAGGTAATACAACCATTTGATTCAGGTGTGTTGGACCAAGGATGGATCTAAAAGTTGCAGGATACCGGCCCCCAGGAACTGGAATTAGCCACCCATGCAACAGAGTATATTTTATTTTTTTAAAGGTTATTCCATGAACACCAGTTGTTTTCCATTTTGTGACCCACACAAAAACACTGAAATTTGGTGATGATTGTAACACCATCATCAGTTCCAACAGCAGGAAACAGCAGTCTTGGAAAACTGTCATTTCTTGATCCAAATGTGTTGAGATAAAAATTATTATGTGATGAGAAAAAAATGTGATTCAGATGTTTAAGAGTCTTTTTATTCACCAAATATAATAGTTGTTTTGTATTCATGCAATACACACTATGTTTAAATTACCAGTTTAAGTTGAAACTAGTGCTTCTCCAGCGAAAAAAAAAAAAAAAGATAAATTATTTAAAAATGTGCACATTTCCTCAGCTAATATCAAAGTAACAAAGCTAATACAGGTAGGTAACAGCTGAGAGGGGTGGGGCCATTATAATCTGAAAACCAATACTAAAAACAAACCTAGTTAAATGTTTCTTTTGTCTCAGTTTGTCCATTTAATAGCTGATTCACTCTCTATCATAATTTCTAATGCATCAAAGATAGCAGTAGATGGCAGCATTGCTACATAGATCAGAATTGTGTCTGAGCAAGAAATTGACCATGTCCACAGTAAACGCCTCATTCCCAATTTTTGAGCACATGGCTCAAGTGAGATATTTTTACTGGACTTAAAGTAACCCATGAAGAAACCTAATAGTTGAGATCTTCTGTGACAATAAGATGCGGGTTGGCAGTGAAGTGGAGACATCACACTCCATATTCAGCATTCAGGGGCAAAAAACTGTTATTTTTTGGAGCCATGTAAAATAATCTCAGCAAGTAATTTAAAGTAAGTTTGAATGTTAGATACAACAAGCAAATAACATCTGGTGCAGACTGCAGTATCTGGATGTCAAAAGAGCTACTTAGGGTCAGTATAAACCTTAAACACCATAAGCTGAGGCAGTATAAAGCAAACAAAGACTGTTAAAGGAGATGTTTCTCAGAAACCCACTCAAAGATTTAATATTTGCAAATAAAAAACCCACAAGTTCATAAAATATTCTATATACTTTTATGCTTGGCTTGTTGCTGCGCCTACATATATTCTTTGGGAGTATCACACTTCTCCAAGCAGATAAAAGGTCTGCTGTAACCTCATCTTTTGTCCTACTGAAGTCATCTCTGCTTGGCTGCAATAAGCAGAGCTGGAAAAGTAGTAAGGTTCTTTTCACCAAGTATTTAGATAAATGTTAGGGATGATACAGTGAGATATCAGGGCTTTAGATGCAGACCTGAAAAGTTTTGAAGACCACTAAATATATATATTCTGGGACTCCCTAAATAGAACAGATCAGTGAAGTATCAGTGTTTCTGAAACTCAGTTTGTCTTTGTGATCCAATCAAATATATTTATGGTAGACACGGCTTTAAAATCCAGAATTGTTGGTCATTTTTACCAATTTATAATTGTAGATCCTGACTAAAACAACACTTTGGATTACCCCTCTCAATATATATTTTTGCAAATTGATGCACTGCAGATAGAACATAAATTTGATGAAGCAAAAACGAAAATTAAATCTGGAAGACTCTTATTAGCTTTACCTAAACTACCTGCAATGTCCCTATTTAAGCTCCAGCCAATCAACTTCTTCTCCGAAGCTGATCATTTTTTAAGATTCCCTTCATTTAGCTCCTGGCCTAGCTTCTTTCTCCCGCACGCAAGCCAACTTTCACCCACTTCAACCCCATCTCCTGCCTCATTCTCAGTCCCACTCACCCTCTGGCATATTCCACCACATTCACAGCATCAGTCTTTTTCCAGGGCCAGGTTTTCTTCTGTTAAAACGGAGTTTTCCTCTCCACTGTCGCCACATGTATGCTCAGTGCAAGGAATTGCAGAGAGTTAACCAGTCCTCACAATCAGCTGCTGTTCCTTATATAGATAGACTGTGTTCCGGGCATAAATAAGTTGAATGCTTTCCTAATTGCAGCTTTTCTCCGTGTGACTCTCTTCAGGAAAGGTTAACTTTCCCCTCTGTCCTTGACATGTAGTAGAGATTTTAATTACCCTGAATCAGCAGCTAAAAGACAAACAAAAAAAGAAAAATCAGTGGACTTTTGTTGTAAAATATTTAAAAGATGTGTCTGTTTCCAGAACAGTGTTGGAACAGTTACAAATCTAACAATCCCCCCAACCCACCCACCCAAACATTCACCAACTCTGCTAATTGTTTATAAAGCAGGCAGGTGGTCAGGCTTTTTAAAGCATCCAGATCACTGAGCACAGGAAGCTGGCAGTGTTTTGCCCTCAGTAGAAACAGTCACAATTTATCTCCAATGGTAACTGAAGATGAATGTGGAGAGAAAGACAAGGAGGCAGAACAGTCAGAGAAGGAGCAGAGAGGGCTGATTTGAGTGCAATCTTCAACATTGTGAGGTTGTTTTAAATTTCTGTTCTGGAAACCCCCTGCTATTGACAGGTTCTGTTTGGCTACCTCACATTCAATCCTATTGCTACCCTTTGAGACATTTGCCTTTCCAAGCAGCTTCTATTTGTGTGATGGTGTCAGTGGTCCTGTGAAATGTTATCCAAACTACGTCAACATCCGATTTCTGTCTCGGTGGATGATAACTAATAAGTAACAGAAACAGATTTCTTAAAAAAATATAGTGCTATGACATAAACAGAATTTTAACATTTCTAAGACACTAAAAAAGGGAGAAAATAAAGTAAGAGCTGAGACATGATCTAATAGATATTTGATGTTTCAGGTAACTATCTGAGTTTTTTGCTAAAACTGAAGTCTTATTTTTGGTCTGAACAGCTTTATTATCATAGGAATGTTTTTAGAATACAGCTAAAACATGGAAATACATTTTCTTTGTTAAAAGAAGACAAAAATAGCTGTTAACCAATTTCCTCTTCCTCAGTTTTGGTACTTAATAGGTAGGGCTGAGTTTATCTACAACAAAAAAATTATTAATATAAGCTTTTGGAAAAAATCTGCCTAATGGATTCCATAATTCTATCAGGAGCCTAAATTTAGAGCTAGAGTTAATGGAAACAGCTCAGAATTTTTTTTTTTAACTCAAATTAGGAACAAGCCAGGAAAATGCATCAACTCTAGTATTTGCTCTAAGTCCGGAACCCAGGCAAAATCCATTAGGCATTCTGGGATACAGAGGATAAGGAAGGATGGAGTGAAAAGAGCAAGAAAGCATCATAATGCTGATGACATACTGCTTTTAAAGCAGATCTACTTACTGTCAGGGTGTAGTTGTGGGTTTGTTCACCAATGTGGAGAAAACCAGAGCAGAGCAACATGATGAGGATGCTTGTCATATATTAACAAAACAACGTACAGAGGTCGCAAGGTGGATGTCATGGAGCAGGCGGACAGACAATGGAGAACTAGGTGAAAAGTAGTCTATAACACTGGGGAACAATACATGGAATTAATGAAGAGGGGAAGGAGGAGAACACAGGTGCAAACATGAGGGAAACACAGGGGAAGTGAGCCTATTAATTACTGAAGGCTAGTCGAGGGAGAAAAAAAAATAAATTCAAAAGTATAGGAACAATCATTAATTAAGGTAAAGGCAAAACCAACTACAAAAAAATGAAAAAAAGCTTCTGGGGGCATCCAACAAAATGTCAGAGCCACCTCAGCTGGCTCTACTCAATGTAAAACACAAGCAGGTCCAAGCCACTCCTGGATCACCAAGCTCCTCACCCTATAGGGAGAGCCCTGCTACCCTGAGGAGAAAGCTCATTTCATCAACTAGCATCCAGGATCTTGTTCTTTCGGTCATTATTCAGATTTCATTTTAATAGGTGTGGGTAGGAACATAGACTGACGGGTAAATCAAGAGCCTTGCATTTCACTCCACTCAGCTCTCTCCTCACCACATTAGATCAGTGCATCATCTGCAGTACAGCAGCAGCCGCAACGATCCATCTATCGATCTCCTGCTCTATTCTCCCCTCATAACCAGGACCCCAAGATACTTGAACTCTTCCACTTGAGGCAGGAACTGTTCTCCAAGCTGAAGGGGACAAGCCACCTGTTTGCAGTTAAGAATCATGACCTTGGATTTTGAAGAGCGGATTTTCATCCCAGCAACTTCAAACTCAGCTGCCAACCTCCCCAGTACATGCTGTGGGTCAAACAGGGGCCCAAAGAACCATGAAATCCATCCCTGTCCAGGCCTTGGCTTTGCATAGAAATCTTGTCTATAAAGGTTATGAACAGGACAGACGACAACCATGTTGGAGTCCAACAGCTCCGACTTAATGTCAGCAATGCGACCCAAACTCCTGCTCTGCTTGTACACAGACCAGAGAAACCCTCGTAAAGGGCCCTTTACTCCATAGTCCTGGAGCACCCCACACAGGGGACCGCATTTTTGGTTGGGCAATCAATTGAACTCTCCTCTCCAGCACGTTGGCATCCTTTCTGGGAGGCTGAGAACTGTGATTTTCCTATAGTTGGAACAATTCTCTGATCCCTCTTCTT